AAGATACCACTGACTTCCATTTCTGGCCTTAGGTGACAAAGTTCCAGCAATTAGGTGATAACTGCTGGATTAACATTTTATACAAACTACTGTGTTTCACCTCTTATTAAGACTTTTTATTTTATTTATGTATTTAATTTTCTCTCAAGGATATTTTTCCATTGATTTTTTTTTTTTTTTTCCAGATAGAGTGGAAGGGAGAGAGGGACAGAGAAACATTATGTGAGAGCATTCTCCTAGGGAGAAGGCCTGTGGGCAGCAGCTATGGCGCCCAGCTGAAATGGCATGATCCTAAAGCCCCACTTCCACAAGAATTTACAGTGGTGCGTTGCCACGTGATTTAACCAGCAGGCCGGGAAGATCCACAGACCCAAGGCTGACAAGCTAAGGCCCGATAAGCTAAAGCCCTGCGCATCACCCCGCGCGCTGCGTCCAGACCCATCCAACTCATAGTGAGAAGCCCCAAAGTGCCAGCCAGCAGGGGCTTCAGCTTGGAGGAGTTAAGGGTGGCCGGCATCCACAAAAAGGTGGCCAGGACCATTGGGATCTCCTGGATCCGAGAAGGTGGAACAAGTCCACCAAGTCCCTGCAGGCCAACGTGCAGCGGCTAAAGGAGTAGAGCTCATACTCTTCCCCAGGAAGTCCTCAGTCCCTAAGAAGGGAGACAGTTCTGCTGATGAACTCAAGTTGGCCACCCATCTGACAGGACCAGTCATGCCCATACAGAATGTGTACAAGGAGGAGAAAGCCAGGGTTATCACAAAGGAGGAGAAGAACTTCAAAGCTTTTGCCAGTTTCGCACGGTCCGCGCCAATGCCCGGCTCTTTGGCATCCGGGCAAAAAGAGCCAAGGATGCTGCAGAACAGGATGTTGAAAAGAAAAAATAAAGTGCTGTTGGCAACTTGTGATAAAACAAAAACAAAAAAAAACAAAAACACCGCTGTGAGAGAGACACATCAGTTGGTTGCCTCCAGCAGGACCGCTAAGGGGGCCTGGATGGAATGGAAACCGAGGTAGTTCTTTGGACCCAGAATCGAACCCGATACTCTTCGGTCCTAGGTCTGATACTCTAACCACTGAGTCAAACCGACCAAGTCTTTTACCAGATCTTTTGAGTGGTAAGTTCTATTTACTTTCAAAAGTTCTCAAAGGAAACAAAGCAAGGTGCTTAACAAGGCTCTATATTCCAGGGATCCAAGTTCCCGCCCTGCTCTCTTTTATTCATTTAATTATCTGTGCTGTACTCAAACATTGGCTAGCGGCCTCTTTTAAAAGGTACACACCTCGCCCCACCTCCATTCTCTCTGCTAACAGCAATGCCTAACTACAAACCAACAATTCTCAGAGTACTGAAGCTTACTGGCTAAGGTCAGTTTAAAATTCTGGAAAGGGAGACACACCTGGTTCAGTGGTTGGAGTGTGGGCTTCTGAATCAAAGAGTCACCAGTTCAATTCCAGTCAAGGGCCGTACCTCGGCTGTAACTTGTCCTTGTGGTTCGATCCCTGGGCCGGGGCCCTGTGGGAGGCAGTGTCTCTCTCACACCGATGGAGAAATATTCTTGGGTGAAGACTAAAATATAAATAAATAAAATTCTGGAACAGGATAACATGCTCCTTTTGTCTTTCCTTAATCAGAAGGGCAAGGCTTTCACCCAGAAGAGATAATTTTGTCTTTCCTTAATCAGAAGGACAAGGCTTTCACCCAGAAGAGATAAAACAGTCTATATCCTGCAATCTACAAACATAGAGCCTTTATTTAAAAGGTGTTCCCGCTCAGTATTGCGTCCTCCCACAACCACATCAAAGTTACAACTAAACTACAGAACAACCATCATTCAAAACCACCTGAAATCAAGCTGAATGGAAGTCCTACAACTATGAAATTAAAGAAGCAGCCACATGGAGACTGGTAGGAAGGGCGGAGACGCAAAGGGCTGGTCCCACACGCGCGCGAGTGTGTAGCAGATAAAAATTAATAGGACACCTGGGCTGGGTAGGTCCTCCCTAAGGACTGAGGGGTCCCCGTCCCACACCAGATGCCCAGCTCAGGGTTCCAGTGCCAGGAAGAGAAGTCCCCATAACTTCTGGCTGGAAAAACCAGCAGAAACAGACTGAGGGAGGCTGAGGCAGCTGGAGCCCCAGGCAGCTCCTCTTAAAGGGCCCATGCACGGACTTACCTCACGGACTTACTCAGACTCCCACCCTCCAGGCTCCAGCGTGGGGGAGGCAGCTTGAAAGGCACTAGAGTCATATAGGGAAGAACTGAGCTGTTTGGCATTGGAGTGACAGCTGGAGACGGGGCTTTCTCTGGGACAAACATGCTGTCAGAGGCCTTTGTTCCTTTGGTGAGCCCTTCCCTGGAGCGGCAGACAGCCGCCATATCTGGGACTCCAGCAACCTGGCTCACACTGTTTGCCCCGCCCTGGTGATTCCCTGAGGCCCCGCCCCACTTAACTTTCAGGCCCACCCAAGCTGTTGCCAGTTGCTTTACCATAGGATTGGCCTGTCTTGGATCCTGCCTCAGGTTTTCCTAAATTCTTTCAAACAAGCAGCATCTGGTCTCAGCCAGCTCCATACCTCTCATTAAGTAATACATAGAAGGAAACACAGGGAGGCAGCCAAAATGAAGAGACAAAGAAATAGGTCCCAAATGAAAGAACAGAACAAAACTCCAGGAAAGGAATTAAGCAAAATGGAGATAAGCAACCTAACAGATGCTGAGTTCAAAATACTGCTTATAAGGATGCTCAATGGACTTAGTGAGAACCTTAGTGAACTTAGTTGAGGGTCTCAAGAGCATAAAAAAGGACCAGTCAGAAATGAAGGAGGCACTAACTGAAATAAAGAATAATTTACACAGATTCAATAGTAGAGTAGGTAAAGCCAAGAAGCAAACCATAGATTTGAAATATAAGGAAGCAAAAAACACCCAAGCAGAACAGCAAAAAAGAAAAAAGAATCCAAAACAATGAGGATAGTGTAAGGAGCCTCTGGGACAACTTCAAGTGTGCCAACATTCACATCTTGGGGGTGCCAGAAGGAGAAGAGAGAAAACAAGAAATCGAAAACCTATTTGAAACAATAATGACAGAAAAATTCCCTTGGTGAATAAAAACAGACATACAAGTCCAGGAAGCACAGAGAATCCCAAACAAGATGAACCCCAAGAGGCCCACACCAAGACACATCATCATCAAAATGCATAAGGTTAAAAACAAAGAGAGAATCTTAAAAGCAGCAAGAGAAAAGCAGATAATTACCTACAAGGGAATTCCTGTAAGACTGTCAGCGACTTCTCAAAAGAAACTGCAAGCCAGAAGTGAGTGGCAAGAAATATTCAGAGTGATGAAAACAAGAATCTACAACCAAGATTACTCTATCCTGCAAAGCTATCATTTAGAATCGATGGCCATATAGTTTCCCAGACAAGGAAAAGCTAAAGGAATTCATCACCACCAAACCATTTATATAAAATGTTGAAGGGTCTTCTTGAAGAAAAAGATAAAAATATGAACAAACAAAATGGCAATGGATACATATCAACAATTGAATCTACAAACAAAATGAACAAGCAGAACAGAAACATTCTCATAGATACAGAGAAATTTTGTTGGTTGCCAGATGGGAGGGGGGTTGGGGGAAGGGGTGAAAAAGGTGAAGGGATTAAGAAGTACAAATTGGTTGCTGGACTGACAAACCTCAAAGGGATGGGGGGGGGGGGGAAATAAACCAAAGAACTTATATGTATATATGCATAACCAATGGGCACAGACAACAGTGTGGGAAAAGGCAGGAGGGGGGCGGGAATGGGGAGGAGGGGATCAATGGGGGAAAAATGAGGAACATCTGTAATACATTCAACAATAAAGATACGTTTAAAAAAATAATTTTAAAAAATAAAAATAAAAGGTGTCCTCATATTATACTAGTCCCAAGGAATGCTTACGTATGTACTCAAGTCAGAAAAAAGAAGCCCAATGCCTGGAAGACACAAAATGCACATACATTACAGCTCCATGCAAATGGCTTCTCTGGCTGAGAATTCTATAAAGTTTTGCTGCTCTGCCCCAGAGAAAGGCCTACCTGTGACAGGGAATATCGGGCAGTTTTTCTGAACTGATGCATGCTTGGTCCACAACAGAGCTAAGGAACTACCCAGAGAGGCCTGTCACAAAACCACAAAAGAGGGGTAGAGCTAACAGGCCCCTGCTTTGAACACCCTGGAAGCTAAAAATAAGAATTCTAAGAAATGAGCTCTACCATAGACAAGTCCAACAGAAAGTTCTCTGTTTCTGTTACCTCCCAAACTGGCTGGCCTCCCGGAGTGATTGAACTCTGGGTACCAATTGGGCAAAGCCAGCCACGGTGCTGGGGCAGAGAAGTCAGGGATGCCGGTTCTGCCTTCTACTTTAACTAAGGATTAAGACCTCTGCTGTATAAACTGGAGACTTTTGTGTGCAGATCTGGGCTCCTCCACTGCATCTAGGCTACATGGCTCCATTCAACAAACATTTATCGAGCGTTATTATATGCCCGGAGCTCCCAGGAGCGGGGGACGAAAACAAACCACAATCCCCAGTAGTGGAACCAGACGGGAAAGGACCATCAGGAGGGGTGGAGATTGCGCGGGCCCGAAAATCCGTCACAAATTGCTACTATCAGTAGTACCCAAGGGACAGAGTGACCCCTAACCCGGCTCCGCGAACCACCAAGCATGAGCATGAAACAGGCTCCCCACAGCGAAGGCGGGAGTAGACAGGTAGGCCCGGGGACAGGTGTTCAGGTAGGAGGCGCACACCTGAGGCGGCTGGGCAGAATCCCCAAGAGAGTGGGGAGGGAGGCCCTGAAACCCCAGAGGAGAAAGGGGGTGCGAGGAGCAGGGGTCTGGCACCGCGAAGCGAATGCGCAGCCGGGCCTGCGCCCCGGGAGCGGAGCAGGGGGAGAAGGCGCGCGGCTAGGCCGCCCGCCCGCCCGCACCTGGGGCCCCACCCGGCACCTACCACTTGGGCGACCTTGAGGCAGCCAAGCGCGCCGCGCAGGTAGTCGGGGTCGCAGCGCAGGCCGGCCAGCCCGCGGCGCTGGTTCACGGGCTCGGTGGTGGGCTGGTACGGGCTGCTAGCGCCTGAGATCATGGAGGTGCTCGAGGCCTCGCCCTCGAAGCCGTCCAGCTCCTCGCCGCTACGCATGCCGCCGCCCGGCCCGGGCCGCCTCGCGCGGCCGGTCCCCGGCGCCCGGATCTGGTGGGCTCAGCGAAGCCGCCGCATTGCCACCGCCGCCGCCTGACTGAACGCCCGCGGCCCGCCCCGCAGCCTCCTCTTGTGCGCCCGCCACCGGCTGCGGCCGCGGCTCGGTCCGCTGGGGCTCGGCTCCCGCCGCCTCAGCAGCGGAAAGGAAAGGAGGCGGGAGCGAGCGGAGAGGGAAGGAGGCGGGAGCCGGCGCGGTGGGCCGGGAGGGGGCGGAGCGAGTGCCCGCCTGCCGACCACTCGGCGGCGCTCCGAGGCTCCGGAGAGGCGGAGGTGGCGGCCGCGCCGCGGCCCCTCTGGGGGCGGGGCGGGGCGAGGCATCTTTAGGCCCGCCCTCACCTGCGGGTGCTTGGGGTGGAGGCCGGGGCTTGGCGCCTGGGGATTCCGGAGTGTAAGAGCGGGAGTCCAGGAAGGTGGGTTGCGTGGACCCGGAGGAACCGGACCTGAGCGAGAGGATTGAGGTGCACCCAAGGAGCACGGAATTGCTGTCCCAGGGAGCTGCCTCAGTTTTTCCTCTGGAGGAAATGGGGTCCTCTGCATGTAGCCTGTGGGACTTTCCTGTGAAAACGAAGATACGCTGCGTGACCCCAGTACTGGGAACAGTGCGCGGCCCAGAGTTGGCCTGCCTTGGACTGTGACTGGCTGACAAGAGGAGGACTAAGTGTCCGGGCTCCCACCTTGGGTGCCTTGTAACAACTAGTTCTGAGGCCAGGGGCCGAGCTGGGGAGGAGTGACTGGGGAGCGCTTAGCACGCATCTGCAGGACTGATACACGATAAATATTTATATATAACTACAGTGTAAGTTCTGGATCCATCTGCCTGACCGCGAAGGGGCGCCAGCACACGGTAGACCCTCGGTGACTCCCTTAGCTAAAAAGGTTTTACGAACTCTAATCATCAAGACAGGTTAAACACAGACTTTTGCGCTGAAGGGCATTAATTAGGGACCAGTATGCAATTTGAGTGTGAAGGCATAAGGAAAACACTGACTTTCTAAGAAGTGTACAACTCTTTTTTGTTGTTGTTGTTTTGTTTTTTTTATTCTCACCCAAGGACATTTTTCCATTTTTTGTTCAGATAGAGTGGGAGGGAGGGAGAGAGAGAGAGAGAAACATCGAGGTGAAAGGGACACATCAAGTGGCTGCCCCCCACAGACCCAACCAGGGCCAGGGACAAACTGCAACTGAGGTACGTGCCCTTAGCGGGGAACCGAACCGGGTCTCTCTGGACCACAGGCTGACGCTCTAACTAGCCAAGGGGAAGTGTCCAACTCTTACACACCACAAATGTAATGGGACCCTCCCATGCTCTAGACACTGAGAAGGCACTTGATGAAAGAAGGTATTGCTCCCATATTACAGAAGAGAGGACTAAGACCCCAGAGCTGTATTAGCTTGTCCTAGGCTTCACAATTAATTGGTGGGCAGAGCCCAGGTTCCAACTTTCTTCACTACACAATGTTGCCTAAAATACAACTCAGAGGGGCTTGTGAACTCCAAGCTAAGCAGTAAATACCACAAGGGCTCTCACCTTTTGGTTACCAAAGATGAGAAACTCGATGACTCTGATTAACACTCTATTCAACCAACAAATATTGGGCACTTGTTATGTGCTAAGCAGTATGCTAGGGACTGGAGACAGACTGACAGTTAAAGATGACAAGGTAAATGGTTGGATGTAGTTTCTGGCCTTTGCTCTCTCAAATCCCAGTGAAATGACAATTCCAGGGATTTTTTTTTTAGGGTATGAAACCATTGGGACAAAGAATGGGAAAGGAAACACAGCAACAAAATGTTGGAAACAGAAAAGCAAATGGATAAATGGTAACTGACTTAGCAGATCCAAGAAAGCTAAACCATCACCTGGCATAGGCAAAGGCTGAACTGCAACCTAAGTTCTATCACAGAACAAAAGTTTCGGAATGGGAAGCACCAACACATCTTGAAGTTACAATGCAAGCAGGAATAAAAAGATACAAGGTTCCCCTGGCCAGTTTGGCTCAGCAATTGAGCGTCAGCCTGCGGACCAGAGAGTCCCGGGTTCAGTTCCCGCCAGGGGGACATACCATGGGGAAAACAAAAAAGGAAACAAGGTCAAATGAGATTCTTTTTTTTTATCCTGACTCGAGGACATTTTTCAATATTTTGTTCAAATAGAGTGGGAGGGAGAGAGAGAGAGAGAGAAACATCGACATGAAAGGGACACATCGAGTGGTTACCACCCACACCACCCAACCAGGGCCGGGGACAAACTGCAAGTGAGGTATGTGCCCTTAGCGGGAACCAAACCAGGGTCTCTCAGGCCAACACTCTAACCGCTGAGGCAAACCGGCTAGGACCCAATTGGGTCATGTGGGTGGCAACCACTCAATGTGTCCCTTTCACCTCGATGTTTCTCTCTCTCTCCCTCCCACTCTATCTGAACAAAATATTGAAAAATGTCCTCGGGTGAGGATAAAAAAAAAAAGAAGCAGCAGTTGGATCCCTGGATCCAACTCATGTTCATCCCCCAAGAGTGGAGTTTTATTCTCTGGAAAAGGTAACGGAAAGGGTCTCAGCTAGGAATCACGAGGCACAATTGAGGTCGGAGGTACCATACTGAAAAATGGGGGGGGGGGGAGGAGGTATCCCTGGATATTAAGTAATATGAAAGCAAAAAAAGAGTTAAAGGAAAGAAAATCTCATAGGAAACAGAGCCAAAAGACAGAGAGAAAATTAGAGCTATAGTTCAAGAGAATAATAGAATAAGACTTCCATAAAGTTAGAAGAAAGACAATGAAGGGAAGAAAACATAAAATAATAATTCAATAACATTTCTCAGAACCAAAGAACATGAGTCTTGAACTTAAAGGACCCACCAGTGCCCAGCATAGTGAATGGACATGGACGGGCACTCAGGCACATTAGACCACTGGAGCAAAGAAAAGATACTTGAGGTTCCAGGAGGAAGAGAGCAGGTTTCATTATAAAGGATCAGGAATCAGAAAGGCATCAGACTTTCCACAGCAACTTTGGGAGCTCCAAAGGAATGAAGCAAACCCTTCCACATCCTGAGAAAGAGTTAACCCACCTAAGAAGTGTGGTTCCAACTGGAGTATCAGTCAGGTATGAGAGTTGATGAAGACTCTTTCAGACATGCAAAGACTCCCACTGTCTCTTTCTTGGGAGGCCACTGATGAACTACAGCACCAGAACAGGGATGTATTAAACCAAGGAAGCAGAGGACAGAGTCCAGATTAGAGCAGCCACAGACTTCGAGAGACTTCTTCAAGGTAAAACGAAGAAAATGCTTCATACTCAGCAAAGAAAAATATGTAGTTTGGGGAAAGTTTTGAGATAAACTAGTGATAAATGCATAGGAAACTAAGCAAATATTCATAGATATTAGCTGCAGGGAAAATAAAATGATGTAAAAACAGGATGAGCATAGTAAATCATATGGCTCAACTGTGAATAATATTTGCATAATTATAGTAATGTAAACAATTAATACTGACCTACCCCAAAGTATGTGACCATATTAGGTGAAGATGGGGTCCAGATGTGTGCATGTGTGATGGGGAGAAGGGGAGGGTGTGCGAGAGAACTAAATATTTATCATTCATCGTGGAAGATCAACAGATGCTTAAAACTGAAAAACCAGGAGGTAGTAATATATGCATGTTCATTAAAAATATAAAGATAGCCCTGGCCTGTTTGGCTCAGCAGTTAGAGCGTTGGCCCGTGGACCAGAGAGTCCTGGGTTCAGTTCCCGCTAAGGGCACGAACCTCAGTTGCAGTTTGTCCCTGGCCCCTGTTGGGGTCATGTGGGTGGCAACCAAAGTGTCTCTCTCACATCAATGTTTCTCTCTCTCTCTTCCTTCCTCTCTCCCTCCCACTCTATCTGAAGATAAATGCAAAAATGTCCTCAGGTGAAGATAAAACGTGTGTGTGTGTGTGTGTGTGTGTGTATCTATATATACATATATATATATATATACACATATATATATATAAAGGTAAATACAAAATTAATCAGTTAAAAGTTACAAAGTGTTGCCTCTGGGAGCAGGAAATGTAGTGGGTGTTTGAGGCCTTGTAGAATTATTTGTTCCTCTCAACTATGTGCATTTATAACTTTAATAAAAATAAAAGCTAAATTAAAAACAATTTTTTAAAAAGGAACATCAGCCCTGGCCAGTTTGGCTCAGCGGTTAGAGCATTGGCCTGCGGTCCAGAGAGACCCAGGTTCGGTTCCCGCTAAGGGCACGTACCTCGGTTGCAGTTTGCAGTTTGTCCCCGGCCCTGGTTGGTCGTGTGGGTGGCAGCCACTCGATGTGTCCCTTTCACGTCGATGTTTCTCTCCCCCCCCCAACACACACACTCTATCTGAACAAAAAATGGAAAAATGTCCTCAGGTGAGGATTAAAAAAAAAAAAAAGGAACATGAGAGTTAGTGGTTAACAAGGCAGATTGCACTCCTGCCAGCAGGGCCACGGAGAGCAAGCACTTAACCCACTAAATAAAACAGCATGTGCTGAGTGTTGTTCATGGTGGTATGGGGATTTTCAGCAAGGACTTATCTTGAGTCTGTGGGTCAGAATTTCAGCTGAGATTTGAAATATGAACAGCAGTCAGCTAGGCAAAGAGATGGTAAGGGTGGGTGGAAGAGTATTCCACACAAAGGGAACAACATGTGCAAAGGCCCAGACACAAGCAAAAGCAAATGAAGAGGCTCAAGCTCAGAATTCAAGGGGAGGAGGACTGGCAGACAAGACCTGAAGCTGAAAGGTAGCCATGGGCTAGTCCCTGCAGGGCTTCATGGGCCACATGAGAGGGTGGACTCTGAACCGCAGAGTGTTAAGCAGGAGAGTGGCCTAGTGAGGCCTGACTTTTAGAATGCTCTCTCTGGCCACAAGAGGGAGATGGATTGAGCCAAGGCAAGACTGGAGGTTCTCTTCCAGTACTTATTGTTTCCTGTCCCTGGACACTAGCCTAAGTTTATTTTTAGTTCCAAGGACAGACTCAAATTTTTTTTACTTTTAATTTTTAACAGAAGTTCACATACTTCTGAAAGGCATTATTGAGAATCTCACATAGTAATTGTAGATAAAACTTGGTATTATGGTGCATTC